CTGTGTGATTTCTAGCCCTCACCAGGTTTTGCGAAGGGACCTGGGTGGGTGTCTCTCTGTGTGTGAGCATGTGCCTGTGTTTCTTTAGATAAATCCACAGAGTCACATGAAATCGGTGACAGGTTGACACCGTTATTTCAAGATTCATCGCTCTGAGTTGCCAGCAGAGGGGACCTAGCCAACTCCTTCCCACCACCAACACTTTTTTTCCAGGCATAATTTATAGCAGTGGGGTGAATTTGTTTCCAAAAGATGAATATCACACTATCAGCAACAGCTGTCTCTCATTTTTATTTGTTTTTAAATTTGACTCAAAGTCCAATTCTCTGCACACATCCAAAGCTGTAAATCCTAAGGCGACTGATTCAACGATTTAGTAAACAGGTTATATTATATAATGCAATTAAAGTGGGCGCCGAGGCGCCACCTACAGGCCACCCATGGGAAGGGCGCGGGGCCAGAGACCCGCATTCCGGACCAAGCTCTCTAGGCTGAAGGAAAATAAACGGGTTGTGCCAGGTTGAGGTGGTTGCTCTGCAGGGAGAAGCTGAAGCCAGCCTGGTTACTAATGCAGCCTTTTGGTCCCTCAGCTGAGTTCATTGTGTTATTTCAGCCTCCTGCAAATCTGTCTAGACGTCAGAACCTGGCCTGGGCAGCTGCTCAGAAGGACCGGCCCGGGAGTGGGGGAGCTGTAGCCACCGGGGGCTCTGGGCTGGGGGCTGAGAAGGCTCCCAGCTCTCTGGCCTCAGGGGCCTCCTTCCCTTGCTCTCAAACTGCAATCCAGCAGTTTCCATGCCATTCAACTCACCTTGTGTTCAGTGCTAACCATGGGCAAAGACTTTCAGAATATTCTGGTGAGATCCCTCAGTTTGCAGTCCAAGAGGGAAGGGACTTATCCAGGCCACAAGGAAGTGGCAGAGCTGGGTGAGGAAGCCAGACATTTTGACTCTAAGCAGAGGCTCGGATCATGGGAGTTCACAGATGAGGAAACTGAGGCCCAGGCGAAATGGGGCATCTACAGCCTCTACTGTAGCAAGGGAAGGAGAATATGAAAGTCCTGCTAGTGTGTCAGAGGGCAGAAGGAGGGTGCTCCTGCAGGGCCATGGGCAGAGCCTCCTAGCTGCTGAGCTGGGGAGGGCAGGCTGGCCCAGGACCAGCCCTACCTCCCTCATCCCTCTACCCTCAACTACACTCTTCAGATGCATTAGACTCCGAGGCTTCAAGGATGCTAACGTTCCCAAAGAGTTTGGGTAAGAATGGGTCACCTCTAACCAGGAGAGGAGAGGGGACTTACTTCCTTGAGTATAAGAAACTGGACCAGAAGGAGAGGGGGGTGGACAAAGAAAGCACAGCTATCAGTCTAAGAGGGGGCAACATCCCCCCACCTTGTCCTTGTACCCAGCGCCCGTCTGGGCATGGGGTGAGGCAGTGGAGCGCCACAGGGACATGGTCCCTTCCTTTTCCTCCGCTTCAGTCAGGATGCAGCGTAGTGTCAGCCAGGGTCTGGAGCAAGAACAGATGCTGGGGGCCAGCTGGCCAGAGAGTTCCCAATTAGACTTTGTTTCTCATCCTTAAGGCCCTGAGCCCTCAACCCTCGCACCCCAGCCCAATTACTGGGGGCTGCATTAACCCCTTGGTGCCCCAGGCCGTTAATGGAATGTTAATTGGTCTAATGGGTTTCATGTCAACAAGTCCTAATGAGCTCGTTCCTAACGAGCTTGGTCTTTTTGTTTCTAAGGCTGTTTGTCAACACTCTGGAGTTTGGGCTCCAGACTGAGGGCCTCACGGCAGGGCTGGGGGAGCTAGAGATGGGGAGGCAGAATGTTGCCCCTTCCTACCTCCTAAAGGGGTGTCCTTCCAGGCCCCTCACCAGCTCCAGCCCACGCACACTGCTCCCCTGGTCCCTGAGCTCTGGAAAGGGCACTTGTAGCTCCTTTCGATGATAATATCAGCGACGCAAATGATTCCTTCTTGGACAGCTTGTGGGGCTGAGGGTTGCATTCGGGTTTTTGTTTTTCCCCCTCCTCACTGTCCTATAATAAAGGTTTGCAGCATTAAAAGCAATTGTCTGACGTGAGCCTCCCCTCGATGGGAATGTTCCCTGCGGTAAATTGCTCCTGGTGTGCTCTCCACTCGCAGTCTTGGCTGGGCTCCCTCGGGTGCCCTGGTGTCTGGTGACAGAGCGCTGGGGCCTCTGGACAGGGCGGTGCAGCCTCTCCCGGTTCAGGCAAGAGAAGTCAGAGCCCCACATTCCTCTCCAGATGGTTCTGCGTAGCCCATCGAGGCCAGGCCGGCTGGTGGGCTGTCTGAGGATGGGGCAGTGCCCGTGTGGTGGGGAGCCCATGGAGAAGGTGACACTGCGTCTCCCGGATCAGATTACCAGAGGCTCTGTGCCTGAGTGAGCAGAGACAGAAACTTAAGCCCCGGATGAAAGGCCTTCTGTTCTCGTGCAGAAGCCCCCAGAGGGCAATGGGGCAGTGGTCTAGTGGCCTGTGGTGACCTCAGAGGGGGGGAGGGGCAAAGGCCATCTGCCTCCTGGGAAAATTTTTCCTGCGTCCTCTGAGGCAAGGCTGGCGCCTGCTCTGCAGCCTAGCAGTGGTTGTTTCTGGGTGCAGACCACTCTTAACCACCCCTCCTTCCCCCCAGGCAGGGCAGCCCGCCTGCTGTTGCAAATATTTCTGGGCATAGGAACTCTAAAATGACCTGACCTCCCATTCATTGGACATTGAACAAAAGAATGCAATGCAGATTACAGTCTTCTCTCTTTCGCCCAAATCCTCCTCGTGGCGCGTCCTTTGCTGTGCCTTCACTATGACTTTCTCATCCTGGAATGAGGTGACAGAATGACCCAGACCCGAGCTCGAATGGAACTACTTGCCCCTAAAACTGCCTGTTGAGCTCCCACCCCAGATTCTGCCCCTAGACTCCCTCTGCTGGAGGCTACTGGCACTACAGCCCCACTGAGGTTCGCTTTCTTCCAGCAAAGGTGTGTCTGATTGGCATCCCAGAAGGGATCTGCCTTCAGGACCCATAGGCCCATCAAAAGTTACCTTGTCTGTCAGAGTTCCAGGAAAGGCTGAGCCTAACACGCCCTGAAATATCTGTGTTTCCTTCACTCAGGGTCCAAAAGAGAGAGATTCCACACCCATTCTAATCTCTCAAAAGCCTTAATTCTGGAAGTTCTTTCTGATGTCTCGAGGAGTCTGTATCTTCTCCCCTGCCCACCCCTGGAGCCCTTCACTCTGCTTTTGCCTTCCTGGACCGCCTACCACCCAGGCGGATACCCAGACATGCAAACAGGCCAAGTTGGTCCCCTTCCTAAGAGACAGGCTCCCATTGGCCCCTCTGAGCCTCTTTGGGAATGTGGATCTCAGGACCTCTCATGTGTGAGACAGGGTGCCCCTGGGGGCCTCTGTTGCAAAAACATGTTGGTGGCCCACCTGAAGTAAGGCCAGGGCCGGGACGAAGCAGCAGAGGCACGGGGCGTTACCTGCAGTCCACGTTTTCAGCACAGGGAAAGCTGGGTCACCCCTGGGACCTCCATTCCCCTTCCCTCTTCCCCTTTTCCACTAACAACGCCCTGGTAAAGAAGACCTTGCCTCTTTCGTCTGTCCTCCCAGACCCCCCAGACAGTTCTTTGCACATTGTTGACATTTTTCTCATAGAGTATCCCTGGTACTTCCGAGACAGGTCAGCCAGACTGACCCTTTCTCCTCTTCCTGAAAAAGAACCAGCCATCCAACACACACATACACACACACACACACACCCCACATAGTGCCCTGGAGACCCTCCCCTTTACTTAGGCAGCTCCAGAACACCCTCAAATTCTCCCAGAATTCAGCCATGTGAACATTCTGGAAGACCCTGGGGAGGGGGTGGTGGGCACTCAGGGAGTGGAGAGGGAGGAGAAGGGTGTCTACGCGTTGTGCTGACAAAGGTCTTTGGCTCCTCAGTACCCTCCACCTGGGGGACAGTCCTGCACCCCCAGAGCTTCTCAGGCGGCTCCATGCCCCACAATGGACAGGCCTGCGCCAGGAAGCTAGCCTGTGGTTTCCAGCTCCAAATGTTTCAGGGCTTCCACTGAGCTGAAGCTCTCCGGGCGCCCTGTGACCGTGGGTGGCACTGCCAGGCCCGGCTGTCTCCACGTACAGCAGCGTGTGCTGGCTCAAGAAGAGCCTTGAGGCCCAGGGGGCAGCGAGCCTCCCCTGTGGGTTGGGGTTGAGGAGACAGTAGAGCAGACCAGGAATTGGGAATCTGGAGACTTGGATGCCATCCCTGTTCACCAGCACCTCGCCCCCAAGTGCACACACATCATTCCTCTTGGCCTCTGCCGTCTCCTCTGTAAGAAGGGGGATGACCGCTGGGTTCTTATGGCTCTTCTGTCCCTACATGTCTGTTACTACGTTGAACAAAGCCTAAGGAAAGTCTCCCTTCAAAGAATGGGCAGGCACCTCTATCAGGCCATAATCACAAGCACACACCTAGAACAACCTACCGGTGATGGGCGCTCACCCAGGCTCTCAGCCGTTCTGGGGTCGACTTCCTCCACCCTCCGGTCTAAGGGGACCAGAGCCCCACGTTCCTTCCCACCACTAGGGGGTGTGGTGAGCACACCGGAAGCCTGCAGAGAGGTGGGAACTGGAGCTGGAAGGGCAAAGGCCTGTGTACCTGAATGGCCTCCAACCCCCTGTGCTGCCAGCAGCTAAGCCCCCGCCCCTTCTCCTCCCCCCAACAGCGCCCCCCAAGCTGATGCTGAACTAAGCATGGCTTTGTACAGGTTGTTTTACATCTGATTTGAATATTATTTCTTTCAAGTCAAATCTCACCGCACGCCCCTCCCAGGCCTCTCCGTAGCTCCCATTTGTTCTCCTAAAGGGCTTTCATCCCTTGCTGTGTCTGGTCAGTCCAGGTCGCCCAGCCAGAGGAGATGTCCACCTGCTGGTTCCCGGGCTCCCTGTGCTCAGTATTAACGTGTGGCCCCCTTTCTCCTGCCACAGATCCTTGATGTGAATCAATCCCATGATGCAACATGCCTCCCCAGCCCCAGCTCTGACGATGATGGCCACGCAAAATGTCCCTCCCCCACCCTACCAGGACAGTCCACAGGTGAGTGCCCACCAACCGCCGGGAGGGGTGCATGGCCTCCAGGGGCCAAGGGCAGGGTGCACTCTGGGCTCTTCCCTGTCAAGCACGGGAGGCCTCTCTGGAGAGAGTCTGGCAAACACAAACTCTGGAGGGAAGTCACTGCATTTGACAAACACGGGGTTCAGATCCTACCTGGGTAACACGGTTGCCCAGAGCACGGGGTCATGGCCCTGTCCCCACCCAACATGCTTCCCACTCACAGCAGACATTAGACAAATGCTCCCAACCCCTGACTCAGGGTGATACAAGAAAATTGCATCTGCCTTTGAATGTTTGGGGAAACTTTAATTGGAGGCTTCTTCACACCAGCCCCCTTCACTGGAGTCCTGTGTCCACCCTTCTCTGCCTGCCTGTTGGAGGAATCTCCCTTCCTTTTAGGACTCAGTCAGCTTCAATCCAGGAAAAGGCCAGGCCTGTCTCTCTACGCCCCCAACCCTTCCCTCTGGTTCCTGGTTCCCGCCCCTCGGCTCAGACACAGCCCCCGAGGGCCCCGAGTCTCCCACTGGCTGCGGCGCGCAGGAAGGCAGCGTCTTCGCCCCGTCTTCCCACGGTCTCCTCTCCTCTCCTGGAAGCCTGGCCCAGCTCTCCTGGGCAGGGCGCCTGCGGGCCTCCTGCCCTGCCCCAGCCTTCCTCCTTCGGAGACTTCGAGCTAGTCATGATGCTTTCTCAGGACCCTCCGTCCTCTGACCTCGGCCTTCACACTGTCCTGTCTTCTCTGTCCTGGTCTCGCATGGCAATGTTAAATCAATAACCATTTATCGAGAATCTATAATGTGACATGCAGCCGGCTAGAATATGCATTTATTCGTTGAGCAGATGTGCGGTGAGTACCCACTGTGTGCCAGGCAGTATCCCTCCTCCTTCGGGGCCTTGCCCGGCCCTGATACCCCTCCGCATTAGGCATGTCAGACTGTTCTCGTGGGCAACGCGGATCTGGGCCACACGAGAAGGGCATTACCATGCAGACGCGGGGCAGGCAGGCTTCGGCTCACGTCCGGCCCCCTGGCCCTGACACCCCCGGCCTAGGGTAAACTTATCCTCTATCCATCCCGTTAGCCCCCATGAAATGCGCTTTGCAGAGGGTCCAGCGAGTAGACTGCCATCGACTCCTCGGCCTGCAGAAGTCCAGAAGCACTCGTCACTCCCCGACCTGCGAGCACATGTCCTTTTGTCCCACCCCTGCTCCCACATCAACGCCACGCTCCTTCCTAGGCTCCCCCACAACCCACGCTGACGTGGACACTCCGCCCACGTCCGTGGCTTTCCGTGCATCACCACGGGTGGGACTTGGCACCGACACCGATCCGCTGTTTGAAGTCTTCTAGGTGAGCAGCCGTCGGGCCTCGTCCCTCTACAGAGGAACGGCCAGCAGGAGGCTTGGGAACCCAGGGTCCGTGACGGGGACGAGCGTCGTCCTTCTCGGTAGACCAGGACCGTCAGGCAGTGCCGAGGGCCCCGGGGTGCCGGCGAGGAGGCAGGAGCGTGGGCTGCTCCTTCGGTGGCGGGATGCTGCTCAGGGACAGACTGGGAGCCAGGAGGTCAGAGAGCACCGAACTGGCAGCTGGGAGAAGTTTGGGTTTGGGGGGATTAGCGGGAGAGCTGCAGGGGGCCTGTGTGGTCCAGGAACGCTGATCCGAGTGCAGTGGGTGGAGCAGCCCGCGCACAGCTGAGCAGTAACAAGTCCCAGCTGCCGGCGCAGGGTGAGGAGGGGCAGCAGCCCCCAGGCTCTCGCACCCGGGAAGCCACCACTCAGCTGTCCTAGCCTTTTGAGTGAGAAGAGGAGGCCCAGTTCCCCAACACAGGGATTATCCCGAGGCCGCCCCTATGAGGAGTCACCACTATATCGCCATTGCAACTACTCGTATAAAGGAGGAAGGGAGGGGAAAGGGAGGGAGGGAGGGAGGGAGGAGCTCACATTTACAGCAAGGGAATAATTTGCCCTGGGGAAGCCACACACCTATTTGTGACCCCAAATCTGAATGAAGAATCTGGCAGGAATCTCAGATCAGTGGTAAAGTCACTAGGCCAAGGTCTGGGGTCTTGGTGGCCTTGGCTAGGCCACGAGGCTATGGCTAGATTGCCACGGGGCTTCCCTGGGCTGGCCTGGTCCCCAAGGAAACCGATCAGGACAGGGAATCATGGGAGGAGTTGTGGCAGCAATGGAGTGGGTGGGAGGGTGGAGGTGGGTGAGGTCGCCAAGACGCAGACAGATTCATAGGGGAAACCTTCTCTCCAGGGAGAGCTAGACTTTGAGGCCAGTCGGCTTCTGGAGGGCCCTGCGCCCCACTCTTGGGCTGCTGAGTGTGGCTGGCACATGGGAATGTCCTCCGTGTGCATTTTCTGCTGGGGAACTTGCTCTGGTCCCCCTGCCTTCTTCCCTTTATGATTTCAAGAGGCTGAGCCCGCCTCTCAGGGCAAAGCCCTGTTGGCCTGGCAATGCTCATTGGCCTAGCGAGCCAGCTGCTCTCTGACTCAGCGGCTGCGGGAAAGCCGGCCTCGTGGGATCGTGGGGTCGTGGGGCAGGCCCGCGAGGGCCCTCGGGAAAGGATTCCCACCTCCTCCTCATTCCTCGAGGTCCCGCCTGGCGTGTTTCCTCAGGCCTGCACAGCTGAGCACACCTCTGAATCGCTTCCACAGTCAGAAAGGACAGTGTCTGATCGGAAGTCCCCCAGATGAGAAAGCGAGGAGCAGAGCCCCTCCTCTGAGACCCAGGCAGTCGCTGTAATAATGTTCCCGTTGTGCTGAGGGCTAGCAGTACCGAGCACAATCTATTCAAATGCACAGGAGAACCTCACTTTGGAAAATTAGGGATCTGCATTAGAAAATTCCCAAGTCCCGGACCTTCTTTATAATAAATTAGAAAAAATTTTTTTTCAAGGCAAGTTCTTAACTTGGCAATTTCATTTTTGAAGTTTGGGGAATAAAGTTATTAAGAATGAGGAGACTTTTTTTCCCTCCCTTCTTCCCATTTAGTAGAGAAGCATTCACAGTTCGGGCCCACGCGGTGTGCGGCCACCACGTGGCATGATGGCCATTCAGCCTCCAGCCCCTCGGTCTGTCTCGGTCCAGTTCGTGACTACCTGTGGGGATGTCACTGTGTTTACTGTGCACTCAAGACAGACCATAAGCTTAGCAAGTACAACAGCAGCGACCACTGGAAACCTTCCTGCGGCCTGTTTCCTCCTTCGGGGGGCTTCCCGTTGAGTTCTGCCAGAGTGGGGTCCCTGCTGCTGTCTAACCAGCCCCTCGAGTCCAGCATGCTGAGCTGGGCCCTGGATCCAGACAGACCCTCAAGGATGCCCTGAGAGGCAGGGGTGAGGCACTGGGCTCATAAAGTTCTACCATGATTGTTCCATGAAAACATGGTCTCTAGGGAGAGCTAGGTGTGTGGTCTCTCCATTCAGTATGTTGTGTGCATTTCTGCATCGCCCCACTTCTGCATCTCTGCCCCAGCCTGGCCACCTGCACCTGGACTCTCACAACCCTCCTGCCACCGCCCAGCACTGTCGATTCTAACCACCTCTCAGAGTGACTCTGTTCTCTCTGCTGCTCCCCGTCCCAGAAAACGTCACTGCAGACCCCCCCAGAACCTTCGTGGTAACGCAGCGGCCCCACACGCCCGCTAGGCGTACGCCCTTCATTCATGTACTCTCTCCACCTCTGAAACGTCCATCCAGTTCTCCCTTTCCGGTACCATTCCACATGAGCATCACCCACCAAGCGAATTCGCCCTTTGGTCCCTCCCCCAGCAATCTCAGGAAGCCCCCCGATGTCCTGGCTTCTCCACCCTCACCTTATCCACTCGCAAACGCTCGGGCTGTCTGCGCCGACCCCACTCTTCCCCGAACGCAGACACACACGCGCCGTTCCACAAATGTCTTTGCCCTTGGCTTGGAGGAAGACAGACATTGTCTCGGCTCTAGTTGTGCACGTATTCAGTGTTCGGTCTTCCTCCGTCTGCATGAGCATCGAACTAGAAAGCGGAAATCCTGCTGGGTGTTGGTCTCATCCACTAGGTACAGCCCCTGTGGATGAGGGCAGAGTTAACAGTTTAGGAACAAATTGATACATAGGTAGCTGGGTACTTCTGCAGCATGACTTGATGGTGGGTGATATTAAAAGTTTGGCAGTTCATCCAGGGTGCAGCCTCATTATTGACCAGGGGGAGGCGGGATAGGCAGTCAGAACTTCCAGTCCAGGACCATTTGGGAAGCTCACGTCAGAAGGAAGTCAAGCATTCCCTTAGGAGGTTTTGGCAAAAGTTGTGTTTCTCCATCTCCTTCAATCCTCCTGCAACCCACGGAGTGAGGAGAATGGTGTTCGGGAGCCCCTGAAACTGTGCTTGGAGATCTGGAGTCAAGATCATGCTACCTTCCCTGTTAGAGGGAGGCTGAGCAGGGCCAGCCATGCCAGAGAGGCCAGATCTCTGGGTCCCTCCCTCCCTATTCCAGCACTATTCCCACGTGGGTGTGGCCAGGGGAGCCGACATCCTAGGGAAGCTGGACCTTTGATCAGCCATCGGGGCTCCCGTGCTGGTTTCATTAACAGGAGGCAGAGGGCTGGCCCGGGTCCCTGGCTGTGAACAGCCCCTGTCCAGGCCATGCAGCTGCGCCGGGCAGAAGCTGGTTCAGATGTTTTCACACTTTACAGTCCTCTCATCTCTTCAAGGGCTGGAGCCCCCTGCTTGCAGGGCCCTGTGCTCAGCTGCCTGCGAAACCCATTCGCCTTGCAGCAATGGAGTTAATTCAGCAGCTTTGAAAGTCCTTCTAAGCCCTTTCTGTGGCTGTGATTGACAGCTCCCTGTGCCCCTGGGGGCAGCACCCCAGGGACCATCTGGGCGACCTGCCTGCCCTGCTTTGACTCATCCAAACGGACTCCAAACAGACTCTTCTCTTTCTTTTTCCTTTTCTGCTGGGTCTTTCTTCTCTTTGTGCACAGTGACCTCTCTCCCTGGCCGCTTG